AATTTTACGGTTAATCGCATTGAGCCGAAGGAAACGCTCGCTAAGCACGAAGCAGTACACGTGGTACGCCTGTTCAGTACCTATAATCGCACTATTAAAAGGGCCACCTAAGATCTAACGAGCATCAATGTTTGCCGGAGCTTTTTTCAAAGGTTCAGGATGATGCCTAACGTCGAAGTGGTAAAAAGGAAAGAGGGTTGCGAAGTCTCCTAAGTTAACTTGAGAGCCTATATCCGGGTCGCTGTATTTCATCGCAGCGTCTTGGAACACCATGTAAGCCCTGTCGTAATTTAGTTCAGCATCTGTGTAATTGACTTCAAGCTTTTCTTCAGGATACTTGTGATTGTTCTTAATCCGCACATGAATCGCACGCATATTAGCATTATCAAACACATGTATAGTTTGTTCTTGATAGCCTGAGCGCTCTGCATCTTGCAACGCTACGAAGATATGTGTTGGTAGCTCTTCACTTCCGGTTGTCGTCACACGCCACGAGACGTCGGTTCGACATCTGGCGTATCTCTCTCGGTAAATACGACCTTCTTCAAAGTTTAGCATGCGTGTGTATCATGGTTTGAATTTCGATCGAAGGTCTGATGAAAGGAACCCAGAGTGAAAGATGTTTTAGCTGAAATTTTCCAGCATCTACCCCATTTGCTCTATTAAGCGAGTTTTCAGCAGAAGCGCGAGTGAGATTCAGATTAAACTTTATACCTATAAAAGCTGAATCAATGTCTTCGGCGAAGCCTAGGATGTCAGCAAGGGGAAGCATCATCGCGCAGAGCTGGCGGCGACAGGGGAAACCAAGGTTGAAATTAGGGTTCTCTGTTGCGTTGAGTTTAAGTTAAAGTTATCCCGGAAGTTGCCGCCATTCAAAGCGACACCGTTATCTACATTAGCAGCAGGTAGCAATTGAGCGTTAGTTCTGTCTACATGTTTATTAGAAACAGCCCCACCGGTAGCTTCAGTGTCGCAGTACCAGAAAGTAATCGTGGCGGTGCTCCTGGACGAATTATCCGAATCAGTTACAAGCTGCATGATCGTGTTGACAGTTGAAGCATACTGACTTATTTCTTCTACGGTCTCGTTGTTAACCTGAATCTGGACCATCTCAAACAGGCTCCAGCCACCATTTGCCAGAGCGACATTGTCGGCGGCATCATAAATCATAATTGGTGCCATAGTTCTTTACTACGCGACCTCGAACTTCAAGAACGGCTCTGTGAAGCCATATCAGCTGGTCAACGTTCTCAGTGTCAATATTGATATTCTTATCATCGAAATTTTGATCGCGGGAAAGAACTCTTTCACGCGCTCACAGAGCGGTCAACTGCAGAAGCTCAACAGAGCGGTCAACGGGGGGCTCATCAAAGTGTCGAAGTCCTGGGAATATCATGTCCGTAGCCATTGTTATGATAGTTTGTACTTCGTACAGTATATATATTATAAAAAATTTGCGTCTGCCGATCATCAGACCGATGTAGTTTAATTATTATTTCTGATATTTAGTCTGATGTGATATTTAGTCTGATGTGATGATTAGTCCGATGTGATATTTAGGCATACATCATGCCGTTACCTTACACGAGGTTGCTTAGAATACTTAAGTCTAGAGAAGTCAGCTGTTGCTTAGCAAGGCTTTCAGCGCGCGATACTAGAGCCTTTCTAGCTTCAGAAGTCCCAACCAGCTCAATAAGTTTAGCTCTAGCATCTTTCGTTAAAGCAGTGCGAGTACTTTTGCGCGCGTTTTTGCAGTACTAATACCAGCTTCAGCCCCAGCACGAGCCACTGCAAATGCACGTGATTTAGCTTTTCTTGCCACTCCTTTATTGTCTCCGCGGGCGAGATCGGCAACAAGACTGCTTACGTTTTTAGGCGAGAACTACTCTTTGCAGTCGATATAACAGCCTCTTTGGCTGCTGTAGCCGTGTCACGAATTGCTTTTTTACCAGCCGCCACGGCCACATTCTTGATTTTTTGGGCAAACTTGCCTACGCGAGATCCTAAGGCTGCAGCTGCGGACTTCCCCGCACTGAATAGCGCACCCTTTGCCTTCACCAGCAAGGCCCACGAGGTTTCCAATCAATGACACCCCACAATTTTTCGACGAACTACATCACGTCTAATCATAGAAACTATCATTTTGCCTAGTATATTATATATATGGAAAATAAGCCATTATGGCAACAGCTTCTGAATCGGAATCCGCTTATGAGCGTGTATAATAACATTTTTGGACGAATGTTTAAAGTGTAAGTTACTTGCTCGCCATTTAAATCAATTTTATTTCCTGACTGATCAGTGATTTCCATTCTTACTTTATTAATAAGACTAGTTTTTATGAGTGGTAAGTAGGTCGGTGGACTAGGACTTATTTCCAACAAACGTCCTGGTCCTCGGTTTGGAGTAAATGATTTAATAACATCACTAGGATTCCCGTTTACTATACTTGAATTAACAAGCGAGCAGTGAATATGGATCTTCTGTACATCTGCAATGTTAATTCGATTCTGACTTAAAGTGTTTCCTCTAGTAATATTACCTCCACTCCCAGCAAACCCAAGAATAGGGGCCATGCTGTTGTCTGTGTCAAAGGAAACTACAAGGTCACCTTTGATAGTAATCTCAGATTTAGATGTGTGAACATTTACTGAGAGCACAAAGGGTGGATCACGTCTCGCGATCTCATTTTCATGTGCGAACTTTACCCCCAATGATTCCATAGCATCTGCAATAGCTTGAATTATGTCGGAAATGTTGTAAGCGCCTGGAAGTATTGCAATCGTTTGCCGTTGAATTACATTTTGTCAGAGCTCTCCTGTGCTTGGATTACTACCATAGTTTCCTCTTCTAATCTCAAACATTACTTGATTGTTTTTCGTAGGGACATTTTCCCACGAATTCCACAAACTAGCTTCAGTAAGAGCCACTTGATATTTTTTTGTTAGATTCTAAAGGTATAGGTGGCCTAAAGCCAATTTGAAAGTCATTCGCTTCTCCACCGTACGCCGCAACGGCTCTTGTCGGGTCTATCTCAATGCTGATTCGTCTTCTAATACTCCAGCCATTATGGTTATATTAATAACACTAAACGTAACATATCACATCAGACTACGTATCAAATCAGACTAACAGACTAAGCAATAGCTCTGTATAATATATAAGGAGAAATTTTAACGCACGTATGTATTTCTAATTTTTCGGTAATAACTTTTCGATATCGCACTTTCGTCTAGCAGTTTTATTAGAATCGTTTCAATATCGTTTTTCAACTCACGTGAGTCATTACCAGTCTCTACAGACTTGCAGGAAAGGTGAAGGCGGTCAATAAGCTCTGATGGGCTATTATACTAGTGCACTCCAGTTCCTGTTCGTGTTTTTTTAAAGAGTTGTTTGGGGCGACTTCTTTTTTCTTTTAGAACATCGTTCGAGTATTTTTTTACCTAGCTCTCGGTTAGCTGGAGAAGCGGTTCTTCTTGTAGACGGGCCGATAGATTTTCCAAGATTTTCAAAATCTACGTCGTTTATAAACTCACCAGCCTCCAACCGATCAAGCAAATTTAAATTCTCTATAACCTTCCAAGATGGTTTATCTTTTGTTAACAGGACTAGATCATCTAGCCGTTGGGCAAGCTGCTGTTGAGTGTTCTCAACCACTTGAGTGACTTCTTGCAACCCTTAAATTTCTTCGTCTTGTTTTTCGTTAATAGCTTCTGCTACAGAATTCTCCTTCGTGCTGTCGAGACACTTTGAAATCGGCTTGGCGCCGCTTGAGTTACGCGCGGTTTTTTACAAACTCTTGGACTAATTTTTCGCTCTCTTCCATAGATGCAACTGACCTGAACATTCTTGAACTTCGATCTCGAGATAGATAAAGATAGATAAATGTTTTTTTATCTTACTATATAATAGGACAAAAAAATGGACGACCCATATGGTGTAATGAAAAATTATAATCTACCTGAAATACAGTCGGTGCTAGCATCTATTATACTTAGGGACGTCATAGTAGCTTTGCGCTAAGTATATGGCTGTGACATTCTTATGTCGACTTGCTGAGAAATACTCTTTGATTGGGTTTAAGCTTTTTGAATCGAGCCAAATATCGTCAAAGACTACTGTCTCGGGTTTAGTGTCCAACTCCTCTACTGGAATTACATCATCAGGTTCTCTTAATTCAACACATTCTTCCAGGCCGATGCTTTCGTAGAACTCTGATAGAATCTGATATTTTTCCTTTTCGCGACTTGTTGTGTAAATAGTTAATTTAGGGCAATCAAGCCAACGCATAATCATGTTAATTAAAAGGTTCGTTTTACCGGATTTAGTAGGGCCTACGATCAGATAATGGCTTTCGGGCACCATCCAATGGTGGCGCTTTAATTTATTAGCGGTCAGTAGGTCGAAATTTATGAGCGCCATATTATATCCGACTAATCATATCACATCATACTAATCATCAAACTAATCATTAAACTAATTATCATATAATAACAGACCAATTTTTCTGCATCTATATATAGTACTGCAATAAAAATGGCAACTGCAAGCGCACCTCCAGTCGAGCCAGTAGACGTTCCTAGGCTGTTACCACGGATATATCCGGATTTAAAACGTGATTATGAATACCAAGGGGTAGAAGATGTTCTTTCACCCCGTTCATCAGTCGAAATGAGAAACTTTCGCCTTGCTCGCATTTCAAACATTGAGGCAGAGCTCCGCCAAGAGCGTGACGCTCGTCATAAGCTGCGTAAGAAATACACGCGCATTATTTCGACACTGGACACCTTATCTGCTGCATCGAGTGCCTTTACAGTCGTGACAGGAACTGGAGGTATTGCTCTCACTCTATCTGGTGTGAGTGCCCCGGCTGGGGCCGCTCTTGAAGCTCTTGCTGTCGCTGGCGTGTTGATCTTAGGTGTTGGGCGTGTTGTTTGTAAAAAGCTCGAGAAGAGGCTAAAATGCACGACCGCATAGCCCAAGCTGCTGCAACAATTCTGATGACTGTTGGTGATATTACGTCACGTGCTCTCAGTGACAGCCGAGTCTCACATGAAGAGTTTGAACAGGTTCTATATCAATTTCGGCGTTTTAACGAGCGTAAACGCACTATCCAAGATGAATTCGACGCTCCGATGCGTAAGAAACAGGCTGCCGATGTGGCTTTTCTACTTAAAGAGATGGAAAAGACAAATAAGAACTTGGAGCGTGAAAAAGAAGAAGCTGTTGCCGCCGCTGCTGAAAGCGCACGCCGTGAAGGTGAAGCTCAAGCTTTAAAAAAATCGCGGGTCTGACTGGAGGCTCGTCATAGATTTCTCTCGCGGTCAAATATAAATCCAGTAATTAATAAAAAATTTTCTATTATATATAGTAGGTATATAAACGTTGCATCAAACTAATGGCAACTGTAGTAATCGGTGGAACTGATGATGGTTATGGATCTGGAAAATTAGGACCGCCAGGGCCTAGAGGCCCAAGAGGAGCTAAGGGAGATAAAGGTGATACAGGAGCTGCGGGGGCTCAAGGAGATACGGGTCCTAGAGGAGCAAAAGGAGAAAAAGGAGTGAAAGGTGATGAGGGTTTTATAGGAGCTAAGGGAGATAAAGGTGACCCTGGGGACAGAGGGCCCAAAAGAGAGACAGGACCTCGAGGGCTTAAAGGGGATGACGGAACTGATGAGACTAATGGAAGCGATGGTGCGTCCGGGGCCACAGGAACTCAAGGGCCTAAAGGAGATATTGGAGCCACAGGGCCTCACGTTTCCTACTGGGAAAACACTCGAAAATAATAAAATAGCATTATTAAACATTTGGTTTGAATGATCTCAAAACGAGTGGTTTCATATAAGATCCACCGTATTTCAACAAAATTGGGGACCCTATGTTAGTTTCGTACATGATACCACTAACAAATTGATGTCATATGTTAGTACAATACCCCCTAACTGGACGCGAAGCTATGAGGTACACTATTTAGAGTATTCTTAATATACTAACAAAAATTTTTATAATATATTTATAGTGTTTATCACTTCAGTTGTGTATTGTCACACAAACATTAAAATGTCTAACGCAGTTGAAACTCCGGTTCATGAATTTGAATCAACAAACGATCTCTTTCGCCGAGCAGTAGAAGTATACTTACGACAAAATAGAGAGAAAAATTTTGAAAAATTCCAACTAGAATATAATTCTAGTGCTGAAAAAATAGTCATATCTTCTTGGAACTATTCAGACGTAGATAAACCTACGCGTGAGGCTCTCGAAGGAAAATGTTTTACAAGTTCAGGGGCGCTACGAGTACTTAATCTCCTAGCAAATTACTTGTCTTAAGTAAAACAAAAACACATCGTATTGGTGATATTAACTCTGAATGTAGCTATAGCGATTTTATAGATGTAGACTTACCTGCTGATGCAACATTAGTTGTTCAACAGATGGGAACTGCTAAAGTAATTATCACACTCACAATAGAAAGTATAATACCCGAATCTTCAACGGTTGTTTGATGAAGATTTGCTACACGAAGCGCTAGATGAGTCCGAAGGCTTTCCTTCATTATCTAGAACTGAATAAGAACACTTCACGTTTGGCAAAGGGGGTGAACCGGCCGCCAGAGGCGTCTGAGTTTCAGTTTTTGGAGGAATCGCAATTAGAAACTGAAGTTCGTTATAGCGTATTAACGCTGGGTCGCTCATATTTCCATACGCAGCTTCCCAACCTACAGGCGGTCTGCGCTTACATGGTGCCGAAGGAGGTTCAGGTGGAGCTGTATTGGTGCGCTTTCTTGATGTAGATGCTAGTGGTTGAAAAGCTTCAACGAATGAGTTTAGAGCTCTTCCACTTATAAGACCCTGTTTATATAGTAGCAGAATCTCTCTAACAGTGTCCATCTCGATTCTTTATACTATATAAATATTACTCTGCTAATTGTATCGTACCTGTCTGTATTAGCAGCCTGGTTTGTAATTTAAGATTTTCTTCTCTTTGTCTTATTATTATATTATTCAATTTTTTTTTCTCTTTCTCTTTTTTCTTTTTGCTCTTGTCTTTTCATACGTACTCTTTTTGATTCACTATTCATCTTACCACGTACCCTACTATACGCTACTTCTAAATAATAATCACATTCGCTGTTTGACATTCGCTGTAATTATGCTAGGGCTGGGGCGCTTAGATTTGTGTATACTCCTTCTCAAACTGTGAGTGCGCCAGAAATGACGAGAAGGTGGGAGGTGCGCTAGAAATGACGAGAAGGTGTGAGGTGCGCTAGAAATGACGAGAAGATGTGACGTGCGCCAGAAACGACGCTCTCTATACTACTAATGACTGTTTGAATTGCAGCCAGAAAGGGGGTGGATGAACTTGATACACGGGAATAAACATTGTGAAACTCTCTGGTCACTGTGCATGGAAAGTGCTAAGACAAAGAAAAGAATAGCTGCGAAGGTGAAATATTTGTTAAACAAGTATTAAATGATTAGACAGGGTCGTAGCTGGGGGCTATAAAATTCATATATTCTGTTGCACCCAACCATTGAGTTGTATAAGACCTCAAGGTCACAGAGAACTCAATGCGTCCAACTCATATCTGCTGCATCGATGAATAACACCCTTCCCTAACTAATGTTGTAGCAGTGGCCCTGGGAAAGTGTTGTCCTGAAATTTTTAATGTCTTTAGCGAAATTTGAGATGCAGTCCTTCAACGACTAACCTTGAATATAGAGTGAATTTTTAAATTGCATGAATTAGAATCAAGTCTCTTTATTTGTATCTTGCAAGTGCTTTAGGAGAGGTTAGCTTAGTGTGATCAGAGTTGGTAATTTTTATTACCAGATCCAGTCTGGTGAGCTTTGACAGTCCCACCTGCTTTAAATGATTACATCATATGGAACAGGGGGAAGCAATCTACACAGATCAATGCTCATAATGTATTAAACATACATTGTCACATTTGATTAGTCACTGTGAATGAACATCTTCTTATTGGCAACCAAGATGCCAATGAGGAATTATTGTAGACAAGATGATGCAGTTTCAAAAATCACGAGAATTTCAAAAAAAATAGTTGCTCTATGGCTATATTATCATGTGCAGAAAGAATGTAGTGCAATATTTTGAAGCTAGCCATTCTTCTGGTGCATTCAAATAACTATCAATTTCAAGTTTGCACAAATTCAGATGCAACCTATATTATTGCACAACGGCACTGGAAGGACTAAAATGGGGCACATCTTTAAAACCGTCTTCACCAATTTGGCAGTTGTGTCATGTTTTCCACTTATTGTATGCTTTCAACACCATTGATAATGCATCTTAATGTTTTGTTTAAGGAGGAGTATTCATTTTAGTTGAAGTAATTAGCTTGTGATTCTTTACAGAAAATAATTTTTTCCTCATTTCAGGAACTTAATTTTAAAGTTGAGTAGAAACTCACTGTCATATACGATCATGTTCAAAGTAGCGTATGGTATGTATTTCATTTAAAGCTCAATAAGCTTCCTTAAAAACATTAATTAAGCTTTAATTTACCAAGTGAATTTTCCATTGTTTTTTCTAAAGATAATCTATATTTGCATCATTGTGCTGATTGTGTGGTTTCTCATTTGCAATTTTTGTCAAAGTAAGCATATTAGGGTATAGAAGATTAGCATGAAAGCGTTTGGAGACGGAATGTTCACCATTAAACATTACTTTGAAGAGCATTTCATGGCATCACTCAGTATTTCAATGAAGCTAGTTCTGAATAACATGCATACAGTACAGACAGACCATTTGATTTTCAATATTTGTGTTGCACACAACTTTAAACATTGAGATTATATACAGTATGCCTTTCCTGTTTTTATAATCATCTTTGGCATCCACATAACCACATTCTTTTAAAGATGCCCTCACCCCTCTGGCAAACCACAAGTTTAAAAATCTGTTATACCTTGTCTTATGTTGTAGGGATGTCTTATGAATATTGTCCTCAAGAACATAAAAGTTGAAGGAATATTTCTACATGTTTGAGCACTCTGGGGACTCTAGTGTAAAACAGCAACAATGTGTAATCATCTGTTCTACTACCCAGTCCTGAGCCACCATTGCACAAGAGGGTACATTGTTATACAAATTGTGTATTTAAAGCATACAGGGTGTGTTAAAAGAATTCAATCCGTAGATATCATCTGACCTTTAGAATTTCCATTGATCCACAAGGAGGCGTAAACACAATTAAAAGGAATTGTATTCTTGGATTTACTATGTGCACTAGCTGCCTCCTTGGGGTACAATTACTGCTGAACCATGCATTTATAGTCGAAACTTGAGTTGATTTCAAATGGTTTCAATGTTTAAATTTTTTAATGCCCTTGGAGCAGTGTTTAGTGATGAATCTTGAAGAGTGTTTAGTGTATGTGGTGTAAAGTGTGCAGGTATAGGGTGTATTGTGTACAGGGTGTATTGTGCACAGGGTGTATTGTGTACAGGGTGTATTGTGTACAGGCTGTATTGTGTACAGGGTGTATGTACAGGCTGTATTGTGTACAGGGTGTATTGTGTACAGGCTGTATTGTGCACAGGGTGTATTGTGCACAGGGTGTATTGTGTACAGGCTGTATTGCGCACAGGGTGTATTGTGTACAGGCTGTATTGTGCACAGGGTTATTGTGTACAGGGTGTATTTTGCACAGGGTGTATTGTGCACAGGGTGTATTGTGTACAGGATGTATTGTGTACAGGGTGTATTGTGTACAGGGTGTATTGTTTACAGGGTGTATTGTACAGGCTGTATTGCACAGGGTGTATAGTGTACAAGGTGTTATGTACAGGGTCTATTGTGTACAGGGTCTATTGTGTACAGGCTGTAATGTATACAGGGTGTATAGTGTACAGGGTGTATCAAAGATCTTTAGAAATTGACGTATTGTGATAATTTCAATTGCTACGACTAGGCTCGGCACACTACTGCATAAAATATTGTTAGCTACGTGCATATACTTGCGCAAAAGCTTTTCTGATCCTGGGAATTTGACACAAGTTCTAACAACAAAACATGCGCTGAAATGTATCACAGAGATTAGCATCGTCATCAGGTCTTGAAATTTCACGATAGGTTAGTTTCTAAATGTCGTTATTGATACACCCTGTAGCCCGTTCATATAAACGTGCCTGCTATAGTGTATATTTCGTCCACAACAGTTCGGTCGGCCTTCGCCAACGTACAGTTGTACTATTTAGTGACATACGTACAATTGTATCATCGTTAGTATGTTAAACTTCCAAAATGCGTTTGGCATTACGATTTATATATGTAACAATGGTTTGAAAATAATGAATCAGCTTAAATAGTTACATTCCGTTTAATATCATGTGGCAATAACTTCAAATTTATCTGTGTAAAATACAAAGTACTTTCAATTAGACCTATCCATCTTGTTGTTATTCTAATTAAATAAACCCGATGTACATATAAGTTATAACTTACCTTTTTCCTTATATAAACCTTGTCTTTAGTGGCGCATGAAATCGAATTGATATTCGTGCAGCGGAATTTAAACCTCAATTTTTGAACGCAAGTGCGGGAACCGATGGCGCGAATGATTGGTTGAAATAAAAAAACATTTTAGCGTTATTTACGTTTCACCTTCTCCCTAGTCTCCCCGACAGATATATTCCGCGCGTACAATACAATGTTCAATCGAAATTGCCCGTTTGTTTATGAGTGTTTGGAAATAGATATGCGTGCGAGAAAAAATAGAATAAAAACTGTATGTAAGTGACCACTAAAGATGCAATTTCAAAC